ACATAATAAAATGTTTACTAATATATTAATTGCTCCGCAATTGTTTCGTGGTGTAAAATTTTGCTATCTTATTTTTTATGGTAGCACATCCGCTGAGTGCGCTTCACACCCAAGACTAACGTGCATTGAGGATGATGCTAATAAAAAAGGAATAATAATAATAAGAAAGTCGAAGCAGATGACGATGATGATGATATAACTCAGGAGGTACTCTCGACCGATGGTGATGAAGTTTATGCGTAGATGACATATACTATATAACCTACTTCTTTCGGAACTGCGCTTGAAGACAGCAGCTAAAGAACCGCAGCTACGCTCTGTCGTTTTTGACACATCACACGTGACTCAGTATCGCCCCAACAGCCATTCATAAAACTGTGTGCTTAGATAAATACTTATCGTAAAATTTACCAATGGATGACGTAACACATATGCAGGTGAGGCCAAAAGCAGCTTGCATTCTATTGGAAAATTTGCAAAATCATTCAAGAAACGATTAAGTGCCAACCTCTCATCTGTCCGTACCAATTTATTCCCTTCGTCCAGTGCTTGTAAAGGGCTTCTCACACCCCAGAACCTTCCTTGTATGTGCGTTATGCTCAAGGCTTACTCCGTAAATTGTCCGAACTGGGCTTCTGTCAAGGATCAAAGACTTGTTACCTCATCGCTATAGCTGTGACATGCTTACGCCTCGATATAAGTAACATCGAAATTGTGCTACCGGGCATGTCCGTTGTTCGGAACGACCGACCAAGCTCTGCACTTTTGCGGCGATCTCCAATGTAAGCTCCTAGAGGATCAAGGCAGCAAGGTACAGGATTTCTTTCTTTGCCGTCTGAGTTTAGGGGGCGACGACGCCTGCTTGGTCGCTGCCCTACCTCCCTCCTCCACGCAGAGGTGAAATTTTTGCTGGGATCTGCACTAAAACGCGTGATAAACAAGCAGTACAGCTACATTCTAATCACTGGAAGTTTCAATATCCATGAGCAGGAATCCCAAACCGCTTTTGGAGAACTCTTTTAGGCCGATCTACAAGAGCTTGTCGTCAAATTCCTGCGGTATGACCACGTCAACACTTCCACCAGATTCAGGGAAACTGACAGTCTGTCCATAGTCGACCGGATATTCACATACAAAGTACTCATGATCGGGAGAGTAATCGTCGGGGGTCCCCTTGGGCCGCAGCGATTAACTTTCACTCTTCGAATACGTCTCTTATGCAGGATATTCCGTGGGAAAGGCCGACACAACGAAGATGATTATACGCTACGCCTTAGTAAATCGACTAGGTGAGACAACCAGATGGACTTTGCTGGCAAACGGAGTACAGACTGTCGCATCGGAACATTTTGTTAGCCAGTTTAAAGCAACGGTTGTGAAAGCATTAGCAACTAAGGCGGTCAATCCGAGAAGCGTGATATTGTTTATGCGAAACAAGACTCCCAAGTGTTTGGCGGTGAGAACTACGGCCTGGCATATCTCTAAGATCTCTCCGAACACCGGGAGCTGGATGGCCTATGTGACCTAAATGGATGATGTGTCAGCTGTAGGCCGTAACGGCCCGTCACTGCCGCACGACCACCATCAGTCGCAAGTGGGCTGAGTTTACCGAGAGGACGCCCAATCCTACGCTGATTCGAACCGGCGACGTAATGGGTGCAAACCAAGCGTTCGGCCCACTCGGTCACTGACCGACCTATGTGGCCCAACGTAACCACCGGGAGCTACTCGTCCATGAAGAGTCATTGGCGTGCCAGCGGAAGCTGGCAATGCACATGGTATCAACTCACAAATTGCTTGCAGTCTACATAAGGTGAAACGGGAAATTCCTCCACTTCACCCAACGAAGGAACTGCTACCGACCCCGAAGGATGTAGCGAATACTCTGCGGTTGGATATACTCCAACCTTTCAGTGCGATCAATAGCCACATAACCCTATGTCGAGCGTTGTCTCACCCTCAAACTCACTGGTATATGACTAAAGGCAGAAACAGTACTGAAAACGCTGTTGAGTACACGCAAACACAGCTCTCTTGAAGTTGATCACATTCACCCTAAGTCACTTGCCGTCATAGGAGGGATCTAAGCTGAGCATTTGGCTTGATTCTTCCATCAAACTTTTGACGACATGCATGTGCTCGACATGTGGAAAAGCGGGATGACTACACCAATTCAAAAGGGATGTGGTTGTTCAGATCCAACCAACTGCCGTTCCGTAATCCTGCTGCCGGTTCTTTCGTAGGTCATGGAAGTCATTATAGCTGATGCACTAACAGACAACTTGGAAGAATTTAACTGCCTTGCTCCGGAACAGCATGACTTCCAAAAAAATCGGACGTGCACTACAAATCTACAACTAGCACGATCCAGCTGGACAGAAGCAGTAGACACTGGCTTAGGAATTGATGTCGTATTTCGCGACTTCTCAAAGGCCTGCGGCAGATTAGACCATGGCATTCCTCTCTTTAAAGTCCAGATCATTTGTACTGGTGATGTTTTCCTCGGGGGTACTAGAAACCTTTCCTTACACAGGCGCTTAGAGGTAGGAGTGCGTTAATCCTTATCAGATCCCGTCTAATTTACATTCGTAGTACTACATCTATCGGTCCTGGGACCATGGTTATTTTTGACATATAGTACCGACATTACATGTCACATAAACTGGAACTGTTTGCTCTATAGTAATGAAATCAAGGTATGGAGAGCCATAAATACACCAGATGATAGTACACTTCTTCAGACTGAACTAGCTCCGAGTTACGCGTGATCAATCCAGCATCTACTTCGGTTTAATGTAAAAAATTCGCCAGCTGTACGCCGTAACAGCGCCTCGCTGCCACGCGACCACCACCGGTCGCGCGCGAGCTTAGTATACCACGTGGACGCCCACTCCTAGGCGGATTAGAACCGGCGACTTTATGGTTGCAAACCAGGATAACTATAGAGTGCCGCACTTACGGCACAGGCTGACATGCTTATACAAACACGCCAAGCTGGAACTTCAAACGTCTTCGGGCGAAAAGTATCTAAGTGTTTTCATCATTACCGCTCTTGGGTCTTCGAATCAGGCTGGATAGGTGTCAAGAAGGAGCATCCAACATGTACGCCTCCTAAGGCGTGCATTCAGATGAATCCACCAGTCGATTTTTTAGCAGTTTTTCGGCACATGCATACGTCCACACAAGAAATGCGCAATACAGGTCTGATGGCCATAGCTGAGGAGAGATCTCACCGTCATAGAAGTACTCCAACTCAGGGCAACCAAGAATGTCGAAGGTTTGTATAATTTGCCGAATGAACAAAGGCTCCAATTGCTCTGAGACTTCAGCGCATAATACCAGTAATTGCGTGGGGACTTTATTTTGACTTACCAGTGGATGTGAAGTACCAACCACAAATGCCGCCATTTAGTGGAGTCCAGTCACAACGCTAATCTAAGGCCATCATCTCAAGCTGTCAGAGCAGTACAGCAAAATGGTATGTGGCCGGAATTTCTTCCCCTACGCATTTGCCAATCATAAAATACCCTGCCAGAATCCACCACGCTGGCAGCGTCCAAAGCCCAAGTTGACCCTACACTCCTTTCTCTGCACTATTAAGCATATCTGTTAGATATTTCACTGCCAGTCAACACAAAAATACATTCCAACTTTTCCACCTGCTGCATGTGTTCGCCAGGAGGTGATAGGATTTTACCAACGTCCCATGTGTCGTCATTCCTTATGAATTTGTAGTGGATTAACAGTTCATACTACCTATACCGCCGTGAGTTCACTGGTGTAAACTTACTTTTGTTGGCAGTGTTTCTACATATTCCAATATTCACCATAAGCGTCCGATAAACCCGTTATTTTCTAGCATTTTGCCCGTATAAAACCATGGTTCCATTGCTCATTGGACCACCCGGTATTGGCAATCCTAGCCTGACCAACCAGTGGTGATTCCGCGCAGTTTCCTCCACGATTGATTGACCCAAAGCAAGTGCACCGTGGCATTCACGAGTATCTACTTCCCGTGCGGTAATTCCTATGCTGGTATCAATGCACTGCCGCTTAAACTATGTTCAAGTAGTTCAGTAACACGGGGATAGCATATTAGGTATCCCGAAACATATCCTAGATGTCCTTCTCTTAATTTGGACGAAGAAGCCAGTAGGTTGCTACTCAAGTACCAGCCGCAAGCGATGACATGTAAGAGCTGTGAAACTAGGAGAATGTAACGAACAATAATGAGCGACTGAATCCAACATGAATTACGGAGAGCTACAAGGAATGTGGAACGAGTCAGCACCAACAGGGAGCAGCGTAGCACATGACTAATAGGAAAGAGCATGTAAGAGTGCGTTGTAATTCGTAGACCATTAAACTCTAGTGTTACCAGACAGCGAACGAGTGAATGTTTCAACTTCACTACAGACAGCAATGCGGCTACGCTTAACAGGGGCTTAAAAAATATAGGCCGCTTTCACGAGTGTTTCTCTGAATTTTAAGTGCATAACAATCCCTTTTGCGCATCTTTCTTTAAGCAGTTTCACTAGGTTGTCAGTATACACTATAACTATAAGCATGGGTGGTCTCCGTTTGTAGAATGCCATGTCATGAGCTGGAAACGACTGTTTCTCTCTGGATCAGGATACGTCACTTGTAATGTTTTACTCGAAAACCTTCCGAGCAGCTTAAGCAGCACAACTTCTCCACATTGTTGCTGTTGGCAATACCCATAGACGTGAGAAAGGATACAGAAGAATAAACACGAATTATTGCCTCTAGGTCACATGAATGCGTTCATCATGCAGACACGATATGAAGTATTAGTCTAAAGCACGAATGGAAGCATTAACCGATAGGCACCCTACAATTTTCCTTCAAATTATCTATAAATGGTAATTCGACTCATTCCATTGTGTCTTATCATCGTGTTCACTTTTATGCTAAGGCTAATAGATAGGGTTCTTTTTCCAGATGCCGCACCATTAAAATAGTTTCCCTTCACCTTCTAGTTTGGTCTAGATTTCGAAGAACTGGAGGACTATGAATCGGACGCAGGTCTTGGAAATGGTGGTCTTGGCCGTCTCGCTGCTTGTTTCATGGACTCGATGACTAACTTAAATCTGGCTGCCACTGGCTACGGCATACGTTATGATTACGGAGTTTTCGAGCAGCGCATTGTGGATGGTTGGCAAGTAAGTGAATCACCAACATGCGTAACACTTAGGTAGTTTGAAATTCTTTTATCTCCCCCCCCATACTGTCAATGCTTGCAAGCGGAAATTTTCTTTCATGTTGTTCAAATAATGAGTTTGTTGGTATTTATTATCGTATCGGAGTCCTTCACTGAGTTTGACAAATTGTTCTGAAGTAACAGATATTTCTGTCCAGTCGGTCTACACTTGTCAAAACTCCTTGAAGGACTACTGCAGCCACTTAACTGTTTTACACTTGTCAGTTAGGCCGACATTTTCTCGCTCATTGCATTCGAAAGTTTACTACGTTCGGAAAACCTTCCTTAGATTTCATGGGTCCACAAGTAAACCTAAACATTTTCCTGGCACACAGATCCGCACCTTACCAACATCGTCAATGGCTGTCAATCGTTTGGGCGTTGCTTTGCTCCATCGAAATGCAAAGTGCTTCCCCAAGAATGGCAGAGGGATCCGCCCTGCGGTGACCCTTAGTGGTGAGCAGATAGAGGTCGTTCAGTAATATAACTACTTAGGCAGTTACAGTAACACCTGTGCGATCGATGACGAAGTCACGAACCATAAACCAAAAGCTCAAGGTGTTTCAGCCAATAGATGCTGCAAGTGGCAGATATTGGACCTTAACGTGGTGTCAGGGTTTATGTGCCTCAGTGATCCACTGAGCTATGCCGGCTGGTACTTTTTGCGCCTTTAGACACTCATGCCAGATTGGTCATTGGTTAGAGGCAAGACAAACTCAGTCTCCTGGTCCTTCTGGTTGGCAGTTGGAATGAGAGTGGCTCTTTAGTTCTCAAAACGGACTGCTTCTAGCTCAACACAAAACCCGCTGCCTTGCAGTCAGGTTTTTGAACAAGAGAATTTGATTGGGAACACTAACTGTTCTCATGTCTAGGCCTAGGCAACATGACAGTATCCTGCACAGGAAATACTATGAAACTCTTAGTAAACAATTCCTTTGATGGTCTGGACGTCACATCAAGCAGGGTGAATAGGGGTGTGGATGCGACTGCTCAAGCCTTTCCGCTTTCCTATTCCCCCTTTTACCGCATTTCACCTTATCCATCCAGCTTCATCATTATCCCCACCGATTTCAATCCCCTAACTTGCTTCAATAATCACTTGACTCCTATAATAATTCTTGGCCAACTTGTTTTCTTGGGCAAGAGATTTAAGCAGAATGACACTGGAGTTGCTCTGATGGATAAACTAGTTGAGTCGTTACTCAACTACCTTAAGCCTGGCGTGTGCCGCTCACTTGCGCACGTGTGTAGGTTCGTGGATAGCCCAGTGTCTTTAGTCGCTAGGGCTTCAGACGCACTAAGTGTGCGCACTCAGACATTGGGGGCAAGTAGGACGTTTCTGCTCTGAAGTTCTACAACGTCGGCCGCGGACACACCGCGTGTGCCTCTACTTCGCTGTTTAAAAAAGCGAATACCACCAATCATGCACGAGTAGATGTTACTGGGACAACTGGGGGTTTGAAAGCGAGTCTATCGTTAACCACAAATACTTTCGTTTGTGGTTGAAAGCGAAGTTCGAAATTGCAGCAAGTACCAGCAACGTCTCGCCATACTTGGATAGTAGACTGGTAATAATGAATAAGCAGCACACTATTCCGGAGTCAATGAACACGCTGGAAGACAAAACGAGAAGCACGTCGTTCGTTTTGGAGCTAATGGACCACGAAGTGGAAGGAAAGCAACCGGCGTGAATTGAGGGGACTAACTTCAACCTATTTTGCATCCGCACTAGGTGCCGCTCAAGATTTGGGACTCGAACGCAGTGTACAGTGGAGAACAGTCGGGGACCGAATGTTCATCTTATCGGTGGCATGACAAACAGCGGCTTGATAGCGTGTTAGGTTTGCAGAGGAAGTAAAGGTGCGCCCAGTGGCTGCAACAATGGAGCAGGGATTGTGGAAAGATGCCTTCTGATTTGCGGCAAAGCCCCCTGTCACACGCACCTAAAGCAAGTTTTCTTGGAGGAAGCGTACCGCTCTGAGCGACTTATAAGCCGTGCCACACTCTCTATCACCCAATCCTATCGAGGGCATCTGGATCATAGTAAAGGCTCATGTAAAATAGAAAATGTTAGGACGGTACTCCGAAACGCATCTTGGGGAAGCTGAAGGCGTTCTGAGTAAAAGCGAGTGACGGATCCGCTTATAGGAGCACGCGGTGTTAGAAGCACGGGCCTTGGTGACCTAGCGGAACTGTGAACAAATGGTTCATTATGTCAAAGAATTACGGAAGTGTTGTTTATTTGGCTGATCTGGAAAGATTTTCCTCACAGTAAACTGCCTGTTTGTAACCGAGTGTTATTATTACTTTAATATGATTTCGGGTCAGAATGCACTTTATGCCCTGCTAGAAATGGCCAATTCTCCATTCGGGTAACATCGTGGAGTTCCGGGAAGGTAGTGCGCAATTTTGCGTCACCTACCCGTGTTAGTTGCCGCTCTCCACAACAATCATTTGAGCTTGGCAAATAGATGCAACTCTAATACAGTAGTGTGGCAAGGAACTAGGTTTTATCGCATGTCGTTGTTGGTGTTTGCAGAGTCAGTGTGTACGGATTTCGATAAGGACAGGAAATAAGAAAGCCAAACTAGGCAAACTTGACCGATATGGATAGAGTGGGTGATCGTTTGGCGGATTGCATTACCGGTTACACCACACAGGTGGCTAGACGCTGCTTGACCTCATGTAAGGATGATCAATGCGGGAACTCCGAACAAGTAGGAAAAGCACAACTGACGTTTAATCCGATCTCTAGGGAAGTATTTCCGGATGGATATTTGTCAGTTGCGGACCGTATTCAAATACACCATAGGGTTGTGGTGAGAAGGTGCTTTGAATCGACAAATAAAATGCATCCGCTTCGGTGAATCACATTTACTCTTCAGGTTGTAGCAGCTGCGCAGGGATGAATGGTTCCGCATGACGCAAATCAGTCTGTGTGTTCATGTGCTATTTGCCAAACAACCGATATATCAAAACGGGAAGTTGCTAGTTCGATCCATCCCATTTCGACGTGGGTACATGGTGCGGTAATAGCCGGACATCTACTACAACCATAACTCGTGCGTGTTTTCGTCATCTATCCACACACATTAGGCTCAGTACTCCATTGCCAACTGTGACAACACCGTCCAGCTAACCACGGGGTCTAAGTCACCTGCACCGTCCATCCACCTCCGACTCTTACTAGGTGGTTGTGATGAAACAGCCCAGCCGCCTACGAATTGTCTGTTTTGCGTTTCAGCCCCCACAATCTTTGACGACTCAAAGTACGTTCGGACACGGAAACTTTGGGAACCCTCGAGCGAACGTATATTACACTAGGCCAGCGATTTGTCGTAACTGAGTTCCTGTGTTGTTGCGCAAACGTCAGAGCTTGATTTACAGCCTAAATTGCAATTGGTCTAAATTTCGCATTGTTTACTGGCACACACTCAACAAAGTGCTTTCCCTCAGCAAAGTTATGTACATCATCGTGAATCTAGTGATGCAACTCTGGCGTAAGCGGTATGGTTTACATTGCACCCGGTTTGAGTTTAGCTGAGCGACTATCGATGATCGAGCTATGGTGTCGTTCCTGGACGCACGACACGTGATCGTGGTTAATAATCTTTGATTTGCAATCTGTAGACGATGAGATGACTAAACTGACTTAAAGACATTTAGTTGCTTCACATGCCGTCGCGTAGCATGTGGGGCGAGGGATGTGGTCCGCCCCGGGCGGCATGTAACAGGAGGCGAATTTATAGTGCCGTCGAATGTTCGATATCAAATATAAAGGGCAAAATATCCGGCTAAGCTGTGGGTTGCTCCATGTGTCACACCTGTGCAAACGTGCTTCCCTGTGATCCTCTTACTTGCCCCGTATTGGTCACCTTCACCCGCTTAACTACGTCCCGAACAATCTCCCATTTCACCGAAAAAACTACACTTCTACCTGAACCGATTACGTGGCCTTCACGCACATATGCTTCCCTCAGTCACTTCGAAAATTGTACCGCCGTCACGGACGGCAAATGTAGGTGTTACACCATTGCTCGTATGAACAGCTGGAGTTAAACACAAGTGGACTGATATGCTCCTATGGCATCTTGTGAACTCACATCAAGCTACATCTAATCCCTGTTAGAGTGCAAGCCTTAAGTTGGGTACCCTGCAAATATATCAATAGATCTGTGTCTAAAACAAGAGACTGAAAGCAACCAATTTTTTCCGATGATTCATCGTCAGACCTGCACAATCGTATGAGTAAAATAGCAGTGGGCGCAAAGTGGATTCGAGCAGAGCTGGGACATTGAGGATGATCGGACAGTTGCGAGCTGATTACACCCTGGTGCGTTTCATCGTCTATTCTATTACTTCAATCGTATGTTATATTTACGGCGGATAGCAATTAGGAAACGCATTCATGTTGTAAGACAGTAAGGTATTGTGTCATCCGCTCGACAAAGAGACATTTTGCCTAAGCTTCATCAACTCAGTCTGTACCTCCGACAGTTTACTAATCATCTCGGAAACAATGTGGGCTGTTTCGATACTACGTCACTTCTCACAGTGGAGTGAATTCATGTTCTGGGATACTACTTGTTTCGACACAGCATGGTTGAATGACAAATTCCCAGTAGTATGGAGATTCTGGGGGCCAAAACAGTGGGATTTATTTCAGTTGGGAGAAAGTTGCTAAAGTAGGCCAACATAACTGACACCGGCAAGATTTTCGGGCGGTAAAAGATAGTGGCAATGATAGTAGGGAGGTTGAACTTGTTCTTTGAATTTCTTTTATAGTACTTCAGATACAGTAAGCCTCATGTACAGTTAAGGTTTTCAGGGTAACCCGTGGGAACGAGCACTACACCAAATGCGAAAAGGACTATGCGTTTGCGGTAGTTTCCATTTACATTACGTAATTGCAGGTGGTGGTTAAATAATTGACTTGCGGCTTGAATAGGGCGGACAGATACA